ATGGACAGCAGTTTATGAGTCACTTATCCTCACGGCCTGGGGGAGGGGGACGCGGACGCTGCAAGCCATGCAGGGTCACAGAGGGTTGCCCTCGGGAACAGCGTGAACAACCAGGGACTGCAGGTGGAAAGGGTGGCAAGAGGATGGAATGCCCTGGTTCCCCAGGGAGGATGTGATTGGCCCGTCTGAGTAATTCTGTGGGCTGGCAGGGAACTGAAACTCAGTAGTCAGGGGTATGTGGTGACTGTGGCTTGGGTTTAGCTAGGGGGCCTTATCCACAGAGCAGAGTGCGGTTCGAGGCCGTTCGAGGTCCTCCTGATTTCACCAGATGTCAAGACAGCACATAATATTGAGTCTAATCTTAGATCTTATACCCCAGTTGACTCCGCGGTTTCTTGACATCAATTTAAATCTTAGTGACGATTGAGACTTACAGGGTAGAGAAGGGCCTCCCTAAATAGCAAAACAGGCACTTGACCAGGAGAGAATGGGCCATGTGGTATGGCATGGGGGTAGTGAGGGCATGGCCCCAGAGGGCATGAATCGATATAACCAATGCCTCTGGCATGAGTGACACCAGGCAGGGGTTCTGTTTGCACTTTGTAACTAAAACAGGAATTCTGTGAGGAGCCCATTCTACCTTTCGACGGAACCTGTTGCCTATAGAGTAGATGGAAGTTGCATCAAATGGCTCCTTTTAGAACCAGGCGTTATTTGAGAAGTGAAATGAACATCTTGGTCCCTATCCAGTAATGTCTGGAGCTCCGAGGGGATAGAGAGTGTTCTAGCGAGGCCTTATATTGTGGGCTTACTTTAGGTAGAGACATCTGTCACCTTGATTTATATTCTGTTCATCTGTGAGGCAAGAGATTCCCAGAGTTCTTTACCCCAGAGTGGACAAGTCTTAGGCAATGGTTCAAGAGTTTGTAAAAATAATAATAATAATAATAAAATAATGATGCTGCTGATGGGACCATTTGTTGACCAGGGCATCCAGCACTAAGATGACAACCTGAAGTTTGGCCAGTTGTGCTGACCCTTGAATCCCATCTGTTATCAGGGACATCCTGAAAGGGCTGGAAAGCACAACTATCCATGAGCTCCATCGTGTATAATGGTGGTGATCTCATCTTTAGTGTCTACAAACTCCCACTGCTATTCACTCAGTTGATCTGAAGGGACTCCCCCCCACCCCCCAGCCCCCCGCCCCAGGTAACCCAGGCATCAGAGAAGAGTAGCCTCTTCCAGCATCATGGCATCTGGTAAGAGACTGAGGATAGTGGGGGATGCCCCCTCCCGTGGGTGGAATATGCCAGAGGGTCCAGGGTTTGCTCCACTCAGTAGCAAGGCCTCAGTAGCCATGTCAAGCTTGTGCAGTTCTGTTTCTGTGACCCAAGGCATAATGGGCAGCAGGGCATGGAGGCTCACAGTGAGAGCCTCTATTTCCAGAAGAGCTTAGCATGCAGCCAGCAATTGCTGCTCTAATGGTATATAGAGAGAAGGGCCTAGGAGGGCAGTTCCTTGCATCAGAAGCACGTGGACAACTTATGGCTATCATGGGTGGTCTGGGGACTTCAAGAGGAATATGAAGAGGTTGTTGAAACCCTGGCAATGAAGGGGTCTCTGAGAATGCTCGTAGACTTTTGTTGGAGGGAGCCAAATTTATGGTGGACCACTTTGCAAGTAACTATAGCAATGAAAGTAAGTAAAGTCTGTAAATGTGGGAATATGTTGCCTCCAGAGTTCCAAAAGAACTAAAAGATGTTGGACTTGTCTTAACTTGTAGGTACTGAGAGGCTCCATAACTCTTTATTGGCGGCGTCAGAGATGGAACTCTTCCGGTAAGGAAGAGTCTTAGGAATTTAACCAAGTTGGCAGGGCAGCGCACTGTGTTGGGGGGCAATGTCCCGTTCCCTTTCTGTGAGCTCTTTTATGGATATTTCTATGGCTTGATGACTATGTCAAATGGATGTCCTCCGAGGAGGATGTCATCCCTGTAATGTCATACCCGTGGTCCTGGAGAAGGTTGGGTGTAGTTAAGATCTTGCCTGCAAAGGCCATGCGGTAGGACAAGGTTGTTAGGTAACCCGTGGGTAGCCTGGTCGCCCTGTGTGGGTGCCTTTGCAGATGAAGGCACACTGCAGTGAGAGGGTGCTAAAGCAGACTCCGGACAGAATATATTAGCCAAATCTCTAATAGCCACATATTTACTAGTGGTGATGGGATGGAGTCCGTAATTTCAATAATACTGGGCATCAGGTATGGGGCTTTAAAGGATGGGACCACTGCATTAAGGTTGCAGTAATGCACTTTGAGGTGCCATTTGTTTTCTTCCGGGTTTAAGAAGAGGCCAAATTCAACTGTTAAATGGAGAAGCAGTAGATAATCAGCCTTTCTTTCACTCATCAGGTCTTAAATTAAGTTTTGATTTTTGAAGGTCCTGTTTAATTTACATTGGGCCATATCAGTTATTTGAACTAAGAGGTCTATGGGGTCTCATTTTGTCAAGTCAACTTCTAACTGTAAAAACTGAATATTAATTTATGGGGTCAGAGTAGCCATGCCCCCTGTGGGATGCTCTAGGGCAATGGGTGCTGTGACCATGGGATATTGAGGCAAAACGGTAGTTCTCATGGTCAGGGTGAGGCATGCCTGTCCTCTCTTTTACATTCAGGAGCTCTCCTAAGATTATGGGGTGGGGGGAACACCGTGTTGACATTTAGTGGCATCTCCAGGTGTAACTGTAATTGGAGCCCCAGTACTGATTAAGTCCATGAGGATTTTGCCAAGTCATGCATTTTAGCAAATATTAAAGCTAATTCAGAACTTAATTCATCAGGCAGAAGCATCCAGCACTTTATTTTTTTTTTTAAAGTGTGTGTATACACATGTGCTGGGGGAGGGGGCAGGGGGAGCAAATCTCAAGCAGACTCCATGCTCAGCGTGGAGCCTGACCCCGGGCTCGATCTCACAACCCCGAGGTCACAACCTGGGCTGAAATCAAGAGTCGGATGCTCAACCAACTGAGCCGCCCATCCAGCACTCTTTCATCTGTGGGCTGTGTAAATTACTGTAGTAAATGTTGGATTTGCCATTGGGTCAAACTCTGGACCTCTGTTTTCAGTTCTTTTTTTCCTTTTATGTCCTCCCCAGTATCCAGGTTTCTTTCCATCTTTCTTTCATTTCCCCTCCCCTTTTCTTTTTGCGTCACCAGATAAACTCTGGGTAGGTGGGGGAATCCTCTGCTCTGCTCATATTTCTACACTTCCTCTTCCACAGAGCCTCAGATCAGTACCATGGGGGTTGGGGCCTGCCGTACGGCAGTGGTTGCTTTCATATGGTTTCGGGACCCCAGGCTTGCGTCAGGCTCGAACTAACCCCTTGCCATGCCGCAGGGCGACCATGGGTTTCCCCTGTAACTGAGGATCCGGATCTTCATTGTATCAGGCACAGGTAGCCCAGTGGCCCAGTGGGCAACGGGCTGAAACTGGGCTTTTGGCTACAGCCCTGCCGTTCCTTTGTTTTTTAATGCTTTCTCTGTGGACTCCCTTGGAATATTTTTATTTCTACCTGCATAAAGCCTCAGCATTCATTTTCTGATCATTCACGGTGCAGACTTTCTGGGAGTTTATGGGGACAGGCTGGGGAGGCTGATAGCCCACCTCATAGGGAAGGCCAGTCAGTCTGCCTGGGGGTCCACCTCCAGGAAGGTCCTACTGCTTACGGGTCGCGCAGGGTCCATCAGGCCCGTGATCGCAGGATTGGTCCTTCGGCACAGCTGCGCTGAGCCCGGGCGCACAGGCGGGGGGCGTGGCATCGGCACAAGAGCCACACGCCAAACACTCCTCTCCTGTTCCCCCCGGTTCCTGGGCCACAGGCTGCCATGGATGTGTACCTTGATGCCTTCGGGGGTCAGGAGAGCACGTGTGCCAGCAGCAAGGGCAGCGACAGCAGAGGAGACAGACAAGGTCGCCGTTTGTGCCCAAACAACCACACGCAGGGAGCCATGTTTCACTCTCCCTGGGCTGGCGATCTCATTGCTTTCTGCAGACCTCCCAAAGGGCCATCCCCACAGCCATCCTGGCCATGTACAATCGCAGTCCTTGTGCACCTGCCCCGAGTACCGTGATGGCCACCAGGCTGGACACAGCTCCCGGAGAGCTCGAGCCCAGCCCTTGGTAGCTGGGACTTAAGTAGGGACCTGTCAGGGCACTTAGAGCTGGAATCCTCCAAGCTCACCTGCCAAGCATCAGTGGAACCCGACAACACATCACACTGGGGGACAGACAGTGAACAACAGTTTTCATCTTGGGGACGAGGACATTTTAGCTGGGAAGAGAGGACAGACACTGACGTGCATGTCTGGCAACTGGCAGTTCTGTCCCAGGCAGCCCTTGCTGGGCCAGTGACGTTGGCTCAGTCTGACCGAATGTCTTCCATAGTGGGTGGGCCATGCTGTCTGTGAGGCCAGTTGTCAGACCACCTCCTGTTCACCCGGCTGGTGGGGGACGGATCCTGCCCTGGGGTTAGGTGGACGGCCACACATACCTGACACTGGACAAAGGAGATGGACAGCAGTTTATGAGTCACTTATCCTCACGGCCTGGGGGAGGGGGACGCTGCAAGCCATGCAGGGTCACAGAAGGTTGCCCTCGGGAACAGCGTGAACAACCAGGGACTGCAGGTGGAAAGGGTGGCAAGAGGATGGAGCGCCCCTGGTTCCGCAGGGAGGATGTGACTAGCTCATCTGAGTAATTCTGTGGACTGGCAGGGAACTGAAACTCAGTACTCAGGGGTGAGTGGGGACTCTGGCTGGTGTCCTCCCTGGCAGTGGGGTGTAGCTTAGGGGCCTTATGCATGGATGCAGAGAGGGCAGGAGACCTGAGGCCTTCCTGATTTTACTAGATATCTAGGGAGCACATAATATTGCATCCTAATGGTAGGCCTTACACTGCAGAGCGTGTTCTTTATCAAGTCTTGTGTCTTTTTCCACCCCCCAGCTGAGGAATGTGATCCCATTACGTTGAACTGCCCAACAGATTCTGATGTGCAACATCAGGTAAGACTCCTTTTAGTTATATTTTCACCCTTAGGCTCTTGCTAATCCTTCTAGAATTTTTTAGAAATTCTCCTCCAGAGCTTTGAAAAGAAAGAAGAGGATTTTTAGGTAATAAAATAAGTCTGGAAATGATCTTTAAACAGCCCGGTAGATAGAGCACATCCACACAATGTCTGTTACTCCCAGTTACTATGGTAGCTTTAATCCGTTTTTCGAAAAAAAATATTTGTCTGTAGGCTAAACACAGACCATCAGTGTTAGTGAATGAAAGAGCAGAGACTGCTTTCTTTCAGATGGAGTTGGTATGCTGTGAATGGGAAGCTTTTTTTAAGCCACAACAAAACTGGATAGTCTAATAACATTTTTGTAATGTTTCTATAAAACTTTTCCTTTTTTCAGTAACACGTTATTTTTTTTGTCTTTCCCCAAAAAGCAAATCCCTGTACTGTTTTCTGATTATAGAAGAATGTTTGTTATTTTAAACTTCAGATAGGACAAAAATGTACCCCAAAAAACTGAGAATTGCCTGTCATTCCATTGTTACCTTTTGAGGTACATCCTTCCAGAAGTTTCCTTGGGTCACCTTGTGCTTCCGTTACTTCTTGCACTGTCCAGCCCATTTCTTTCTACTTGCTCAAAGCTCATTAGCAGAATTGCACAATGCTTCACATCTGCTGAACTATATTTAGAGTGTCAAATGTCTCAAAAAGCATGTCTTGCCTCAAGATGGGCTAGTTTGGTCCTGCCCGTTCCATAACACCAAGGTAATTTTTTAGAGAGACAAATTGAAAGTTCTGTTTAGGCTTACTTGTCAAACATCAGTCTGTCATAAATCATCAATAGTGATACTCTTGGATAGTCAGATCACTCTTGCAAAAAAAGCAAAATTATACTGTAGTTGGTAGAACTGTCAATTTTAATTGTATACAGCTCTCTTGAAAGTTGTCAGTCATGCTGCTTTTAACTTTGGTTTGGGGCTCTTCAGTCACCTATTGTGAATATCATATTCTTATTTAGTAATCCCTAGCATTTTCCTTGGAATTACGATCTAATGGTTGACTTTGGCACCGACTAAGTTTAAACAGTTGTAGTAAACCCAAAGTCTGAAATTTTCTCTTCTTGCATTCCTCAATTTGTTTAACCAAGTTTTGCTCTTCACATGTTTTGTAACATGATATAGATTCTCATGAAGATGTAAGAATGCTACATTGTTTGTTTAGCTTGCTTGTAGGGATTTTCCAAAACCGGTTAAGATTAGGTACAGAATATACCTTAGGACACTGTTCAGAAACTGTTTAATTTTAGTGTCATAGGTCTGGCTATATGAAGTAAAGACTAAAAGATGAAAATAGATCTATAAACGAATAAAAGGGGAAGAAACCTATTTGAGATTTTTTTTCCAGTTCTGTTGTAAAAGAAATTGTCATATTCCTATGAAAAGTAGGACTGTACCTACCTACTTCAGTTCGTTATTTCTTTGCATAATCTATAGGATTTGTTCTAACTGCTAGATATCCAGCGGATTCTTTGAAGCCAACTTGGCAGTTAGAATAAAGAAAACTCACCAGGAGAGACACGTTTAAAAAAACAAAACAAAACCCGTAGTCCATTTTCTAGAGCTCCGACATTAAAAGCAAGCTAAAGATATGTTCTTCAGAATATGTAACATTTGGTGTGTGAGTGCTTTTTATCATTTGAAAACTAAAATCCACTTCTTTGAATGATGCAGAGGGAAAACACTGCAGCGTCCTCGTGTGCAAAGTCGAAGTCTGACATCTCAGACAAATTTCATAGAGAATCCTTTACTTTTAGGAACTTAAAATCCATACCCCATCTACTAGAGCGTGTCCTACTTCTACAATTTATTACAAGTGGCATTTGTTGAGCGTATGTTCTGAGACCAAACCTGGACTTGGTGTTCTTGGATGTAAGAAAAACAGGGGGTGGGGCAGGGAGGAGAGAAGACCCCTAAAGAGCTTATGGACTCGCTGGCGAAGCAGGGCACCCAACATGAGATTCTAGGTGTGGGGATGGTTCACAGGGCTTAAAAACGTTCATGGAACTTGGGGCGGCTGGGTGGCTCAGTCGGTTAAGCATCTGACTCTGAGTCATGAGTTCAATCCCCATGCTGGGCTCCATGGACACTACTTAGGGGAAAAAAAAAAAGTCTGTGGAACTTTATGTTCAAGAAAACACTTTCCAGAACCTTTAGCCAACAATGAAGTTTCAACCATGTGAACTACATGCACAAACATCTGGCAAATGAGACTAAAGCAAAATTTGTTCCAGTTTGTAGCCAACAATCCATGCCAAGAGGAAACCGGAGTAATAATAAAAATAATAAATATCAGGTTGCTAACACGGAGTTAGAGGTGATAGAAAGAATGATGTTTTCCTCGATTTATGTTGTTTATTTGGTTTTACCAAACTAAAGTCTTTATCTTTTAAGTTTTAGAAACTACATGAAAGTACTGGGCTCATTTAGTTGTGACAAAAGTATCATACTAACGTAAGGTGTTAATAATAAAGGAATTGGGGGCTCCTGGGTGGCTTAGTCGTTAAGCGTCTGCCTTCAGCTCAGGTCATGATCCCAGGGTCCTGGGATTGAGTCCCGCATCGGACTCCCTGCTCAGCGGGGAGCCTGCTTCTCCCTCTTCCTCTCCCTCTCCTGTTCCCCCTGCTTGTGCTCTCTTGCTCTGTCAAATAAATAAATAAAGTCTTTAAAAAATAATAATAATAATAAAGGAAATGGGGTATAGGGTATCCAGGAACTCTTTATACCATCTTCTCAAGATATCTGTAAGTCTAAAAGTATTCTAAAATAAAAAGGTATTTTATCTTATTTAAAGATTTATTTATTTTAGAGAGAGTACGTGCAGGTGAGGGGAGGGACAGAGGGAGAGGGAGAGAGAATCTCAAGCAGACTCCCTGCTGAGCATGGAGCCCGATGTGGGGCTCGATCCCGTGACCCTGAGATCATGACCTGAGCTCAAATCAAGAGTCGGCTGCTTAACCAACTGAGCCACCCAGGCGCCCCTAAAGTAAAAACGTATTTTAAAAACCACACTAAGTAAAATTTAGAATCTAGGAAAATGAAAAACCTCATTCACAATTCCACTACTCTAATATAACTGTCTTTTTGTCATTTGGATGTATTCCCTCATACATTTTTTTTCATATGAATAATTGTAAAAACTGTTTGTAAATATATCTTCCTTCTGTCATGTAATGTTATCTCACAAACTTTATTCAGTTTGTGCCATGGCTGTGAATGGCTGCATGGTATTACCGTCTCTGACATGGAAGTGACTCTGGGACGTGTGTCCAAGAGCAGGACGAGAGCATCCCTGCTACCAGCTTTGGTACCTGAGGAAAGAGCCACTGACAAATACTTTGCCTGGAGTTGAAGGATTAGGAGATCCTAGGTGATAAGGCTGAGGGATAAGTTGGAGCCCGGGCCCCAGAGCCTTGAATACCAGACACGGGTGGATGGAAGGTATTGGGCGTTGTGAGTGATGGACCAACGACCATATCCGGGAGCCCCAGGGAACTGCAGAGAAGATGAGGGTAAATTTTAAGCCTGTAACTGGGACCTGTTCCTACCAAAAATATAAATAAAGAATTCAGGAAGAAGATAGGATTCATGTGTTGCTGGGATTTTCTGTTTGTCTGTGGGCTGTGAAACAGGAGATAGAGGTTTGAAGAGGTTGGGGTATGTGAGATTTGTGGCAATGCCCAGTAAGTGCTGGAAAACACAGCTCTAGGTCCTGGTTTAGGACTCTTGCATCAGGAGGTTATAGCTGAAGCCTCGGGAGTGGACGAGACTGCCAAGGAGGGAGTCCTTGTAGAAAGCAAAGGGGGGAGCCAGGGATGGAAGCTTGAGGAACACCTCATTTGAGGCCAGAGGAAGAAAAGGAGCTCAGAAGCAGAAATTGGTCATTGGGACGAAAACGTAATTGTAAGGCTTAAAGAGTGAGTGGGTGATAAGAAAGTTCATGCAGTCCTGGAAGATTCCTTAAGGGAGCAAGGAAAAAATATTGAATTCTTGTTTGAGGGTGTTAGAAAATACAGGGGAAAAAAGCTGCTGCTTTTCAGGATGGGAAACAGTGGATTTTAAAGGATAAGGTATTACCAGGAGTGGAGAGATTCAAAACAGGAGAAGGAGAAGTAGTAATTAGTGGGGTTTGTTTTCCTTACAGGGTTAATGTTCCTAGCAAATACTCTTGATCTCAGCTCAGGTCTTGATCTCAGGGTTGTGAGTTCGAGTCCCCACATTGGGCTCCATGCTGGGTGTGGAGCCTAATTTTTAAAAAAATGTCCTGTGGGGAACACCCAACATATTGGTTTCCTTCAAGGAATGTATAATCTGGCAGGGAAGATCTATGCACACATATATTAGATAAATATCCGAGGCACATACCAATGAGTTAGCATTTTAAAAGTAAGAATCTCAGGGTGCCTGGGTGGCTCAGTCGGTTAAGCATCTGCCTTCGGGTCAGGTCATGATCCCGGAGTCCTGGGATCAAGCCCTGTATTGGGCTCCCCGCTCAGCGAGGAGTCTGCTTCTCCCTCTGACCCTCCCCCCTCTCATGTTCTCTCCCTCTCACTCTCTCTCAAATAAATAAAATCTTAAAAAATAAATAAAAGTAAGAATCTCAACTTTTTCAGAGACAGGACAAAAAGAAGACTGGATAGGTAAAGATACAAACATTCTTTTTAGTTGTCTAGAAGCTGGGATAGCTGATGTCAGATTTGAGTAGCGCCTTGAACGGCGACCCTTGAGTGGGGCAGGAAGGGAGGAAATCTAGTGAGGAGATTAGGAGTTAAAGGGTGTGTTCTGTCCATATGGCAGGGAGGCCAGAGGCGGTCATGAATGAGGCAGTGGCATGGTGGCATTTGATAAATTGGAAATGGATTGCAGCAGGATAGATGATGCCGCATTCATCCATCTGTCAAGTCTGATACCGCCACTCTCTTAGGTACTGGGGATATAATGGTGA